ACCACCTTGAGGAGTGAGCTATTGTAATTAATACGGTATTTTCAACTGTTTTGTTCTGTTGTCTCGCAATAGAGGAACAAATCAAGTCAAATATGGTATTTTAACCAAAAGCACATGTTCAAGAATGTTGGGGACCTCTTTTACATTCAAATGAACTCAATCGTAAAGAAACGTGTCTACATTTTTGACGACGTTTCTGAGTGCGAGTGCGACTAGTAGTAGTAGTAGTAAAAACTTTATTTACCCACGCTAACCCTGTCAACCGAAGCTGATTTCCACAGGGGACTGAGATAAATCATGAATACAGTCGTGACAACACCTTTCAAATGGGAATTTCTGATAGAGATCGGTGAATTATACCATAAGTTAACACATGAGAAATTGGTCATGAACTTTATTGTTTTGGAAATGGTGAATTTTATATGGACAAGACTCATATTTGTTTCTATCAACCTAATCAACGCAAACAAATTATGTCGCTTGTGGGATTTGTTAAAGGAACAAATGATTCAGGATGGTAGAAAGAATAGCAGGTGCGTTGTAGTGATCTTATTTATGTTAATGGTGGGTGCTTAAACGCAATGCCTTGTGAGAATATATACCATCCCATCCCTGCTTGTGTAATATGTACCTTATTAAAGTCATAGTCATGATTATAAATTATCACTCTTCTGAGAAGACCTCAATGGTATTTTATTCCAAAGAAGCAGATTAAAATTAATAAACTTGAAAGAATTTGAAAGTTGTAATGAAATGGTATCTCATTTCTGTGCTTTTTAGATCCTATAGAGACAGTATAAAGTGAAGATGGAATGCTGCAAACAGTTACTTTCAGTTGCATGTCTATATATGCATTATATTGCATAATTGTGTAAAAGCAATTTGATTGTAAAGGGTCTTTACAGGGTGTCTCAAAAAAACCGCTACCCTTGGAAATTCACCATTGTTCTAATTTGAATGCCTGAGTGCTATCTTGAACTCATGGGTGCATGAACAATTATTTAAGACAATAAATACTCTTTCCTCTGTGCTTAGTTGAGCTATTTGCTTGACATTCACTGATATGTAATTGAACGATTTTCGTGCAGTTGAACTATTTTCAATTCCAAGGATAAAAAATTTCGCTTTTCAAGGATATTTTAATTCCGAAGATCTTTAATATATGCATCCTGTGAAAATGTTTACGCATTCATGGCTTCAACAAGGTTCAGGCATTCAAATTAGAACAATGGTGAATTTCTAAGGGTAGCGGTTTTTTTGAGACACCCTGTAGTATTATAGGATCTGTGTGAAATCTATCAGCCTAATCATAAAAAAATGTATTGGTTATAAAACATTGTTTGTTGACTGAATACTGCAACCTGCTGAGATCATTTTAGCTTTGCCTTTTCTTCATGGAGTAAATCAGGCTTTTAGGTTTCAAGAAATTGTGACATTGTTAATATATGTTCTGCCCTCAATAATACAGATCAATTAATAAACAGCATAATATGTATATATTTTTTTTCTTCTGTTTTTGGTGTAGTGTACTCAGGTGAATATGATATTTGTGGTGTTACTCTGAGTGTATATCCACACCGGGCGAACTTGAAAAATATGCCCGGCCACGGTCGTAGGTTCGTATCCCACCGTGGTCGGGCATATTTTTCGTAGGTCGTAGGTTCGTATCCCACCGTGGCCGGGCATATTTTTCAAGTTCGCCCGGTGTGGATATACACTCAGAGTAACACCACAAATATTATGTATATTTTTATTATTTTATGAGACTGACTGCTGCCTTGACACACCTACACACATTACAATTGCATTAAAATACACTACAGTACTGCTTACAAACTTTTACTTTAGTAATTTTACAGTAACAGTACTTTTACTTTAGTCATTTTACAGTAAAAAGACAAAACTA